AATTAATGTGTTTAAGAATAATATATTTTTTGTATGAGGAAGTCAAATATTTATGGCTATGCTTTATGCTTTATATCCAGTTTTTCTTCCGTTTTTCTGTCTTTTTTGTGATAAGACATGTTTCAGCTTGAAAGTGTCATAATCATGAGGTTATTACTGATAAAACTTGTGTTCTTTGTTTTCTTATCAATAACACTTGTAATTATATAAGTTTGATATTGATATGATAACACTTCTTTTGTGTTTCTTTTTCTTTTTATCAACAATAGCCAAATTAGTATTGAAAAAACTTTGATTAGTTTGCTTTATAATTTATGACCTTGTTATAATGGACACTATTTTCTCTTTGTGTTTTTGCTTTTCCTTTTCTCAGCAGATATCTCTAAAAGCTTCTTTACAAATATGCTCATTCCCCATTTGCCAAAAGTTTGCCGTATGAAAATCACACTATTTATAAGTTGCCGTTGGTTAGGAAAGTCACATCTGTTACACATTAATTGATTCCCATAATACTAGGTACCTTTTAAACATGTTACGGGAATTCCAGTTTCTCCACCTGGCTTGAAAGAGCAGAGAAAGACAGGTGTATTTAAAAGTAAATTAATGGCAACATTTTAGGTTTTATAATGATGTGATTCAGTGATGTTAACGTGCATTTGTTTAAGCTTTTGACTATGGCCTGCATTTATTTCCATAGCAATTTTCTTGTATTTCTTAAGTAACAGAAAGATGAAAGTGCTAATCTGAATCTTGTTTCTGCTTTGCTTATTGTGAATGACAATTGAGATTCCACTGTGACTGTAAAAAAAGCTCAAAAAGGCAATTTTGCATGAAAAAGTTAAATAATTTTTGTGTCTCCCTTTCCATTTAGAGCAACTGTAATTACTCACAGTTCACTAAAACATTTTTCAAAAGTATTAGGATTCTTGAAACTCTCCCAAAACCATGCTTGGGGCATACCAGCCCATTATGTGAGAACACAGGATAGTTTGTGAGAAACACAGGATAGTTTTTGTAAGACTGGAACATAGCCACCTATTACATCTTCAGTAATAATATTGAATTGCAGAAGCAGTCACCTAAAGGGGCATCACACTAGTTTTGTCTATATTAGGATCCCCATAAAGGTTGGAATACTTTCCAGGCCTCAACATTCACCGAGATGAAAATGCCTGGGCTATTGCTTGAGAACCACTGTGTTAGTGTTTCATTATGGCTACAGTGGCAAAGATGCCAAAACAAAATCTAGTGTGATTACTTTTGAGGACATTACTGGATACACTAAAGATTGCTTATTATATCATATGAGGCATAATTACTTCATAGAAATAGGTAATAAATGTTGAAACGACAGTGATCCTTTATTAAAATTTTAAAGAATATCCAGACAAAGAATCATTTTACCAGCAAATACAAACACGCACCCACTCATGATTTGAGTAATAGTGTTTGCTTGTTTTCAAGATGATAGTGTCATCAGTTCAAATTTACTGCCTTCATGCACCATCAGACCAATATTTGTGGGGAGTAAAAAGTGATATAAACATTTTTTCATGGCTCAGGATAAGTTTGCCTTGCCAAATCTGATCGACACCAACTGAACTAGAGGGACAATTGCTGACCAAGACCTTATCAAACATTGTGTTAGGATCCCTATCCTGGTGTGCCTTGTGTGGTATATTGTGAAGAGACACCATAGAGATTGTACTTGATGCAGAACAGATTGTATTTGATGTAGATTATCCCTGGAGAAGGAAAAGGGTATATAGAGAAAGAGATTATTAGGAATTCAAACTTTGTCTCACCGCAGAGATTCTATGAAGGAGTCCAGAGAGATATTAGTATTGTAGGCTGTGATCTCATATCGAGCATAGTGAGTTCATTGTTTGTTTGCTTGCAGGGAAGAGAAGGCTATCAAGTTCGAGGTATCCAGATATTAAGTTAGATAAAGCGTGGTGATATTGTTCTTATCAAATGTTAATGGTAGTAAGGGTCATGTTCATTTATTCATTTTTCTTTCTTGTAATATTCTTTTTATTGGATGATGTTCTCCGAGTCTTTTCTCTGAATTGATTTTCTGATTTGTCCTTCATCTTCCTTTTCTTCCTGCTCTATCTCTTCATCCTTATTTGTTGCATTTCATAGATAAACTTAACTATTGCCCTTCTTGATTATGATTCCCATGCTTGTACTCAAGACTTCACCTATTAACGTGTCTTAACTCTTTTCCATTGTCTTCTTTCTAGATTACAGCGAGAACAGGAAAGATTAAAGAAACAGGAGGAACTCAGGAAGGAAAAAGAGGTGTGTGTCTGAGCCATTACTTAGATTGATTGTCTCTTTTCCATCTGTTATTATTATTGCATTATGATGGTCATTATTATGAATATTATCATCATGATTTCAACTTTGATTTTTATTAATTTATAGATTTTTAGAGTATTTCTTATTATGACAATAGGAATTGAAGGACTAACTGCACTCTCTTACGCAGGAATTACGGAAACAAAGGGAGGAAGAGAACCGGCAGAGACTCTACGAGCAATTGAGAAAAGCACAGGTGAGGGAAGGTGTTCAGTTGGAAAGGCTTCAGCTGTTAGGAGCCATGCAGGCTTTTCATTTAATTATAGGTTGTAGTTTGATTATTATCATTGTTATTATAATTGAATTAGTGTTTGTTTTTTTTTTTTTTTTTGATATGTAGGATTTCTTTTCTTTTCCCATGTTGTTGTAGTCTGAGTGTGTGTCAGCTCTCCTCAAATCTTGGCTTTATTATGAAGAGAAGTCATAACTTCAATATAGATTACACTGTGCCATTGTTAATGATCATCATGTATTTGCAGGAAAGAGAACAAGAAAAACAGAAGCAGAAGTTAATTAAGGAACAGGTAAGTTGGCATCTTGGTGGATTTCAGACAACAGGTAAAAGGGGCAGCACATTCTGTAGGTTTAGTGTGGACTGAAGCTTTGTCAAGATATTGCGTATTCGGCAACGAATTAGAGGTTGGAATAAGAAAAGAAAGAAAAAAAAGCAGTGAGGATTAGTATACCAATGTTCTTACTATATTTCTGGAATGGAAATAAGAAGAGAAAAAGGAAGGAAGAGAAATGAATTAGATAAAGGGAAAGGAGAAAAGAAAAAGATTTAAATTCAGATACCTGGCCTCCTAATTATACGAGAGAAGAGTGCGCCTTGTTGAAATATTACTGAGAGAGAAGATATATATATTTTTTATTTTTTTTTATTTTTTTCTCATTCTGTCTAAATCTGTCCAATGATTGTAAGACTCAGAGGAGAAGCTTGAATCCAATATGAAAAGTCTTTGGCATTCCTTAACACAATGATAAGATGCTGTTTCCATTCTGCTTTTATAAGTAGGTCTATCAGTCTGTCCTTTAGATATATTTTCTTGCTTTCATTTGTCTCCCAAGATTTTTGAGAATGTGTCAGTGTGAGAATATGTACAAATATATAAGACCAAGAAAATCTCAGGTATAGATATTTTAGAAGTATTGAGAATCTCATGACCCAAGGTAGGTATGATTTGGAAGAAAGAGAGAGAAAGTAGTACTGTAGGCACTTCTTCCGTAGCAAGACCGTCTTGCCTCTCAAGAGAGATTTGCTTTTCGCTTGATTTTGGATGAGAATGAAGCCAAGTCAAAACGCGACTTGCTCAGCTGAGTATAGTCTCCTTGCGTTTAATCACACACTTGCTTTATAAAAAGAAAATTGTGTTGCGTTATTTTGCAGCTTTGAATCACAAAGGAAATTAAATGTATTTTTTTACTTATTTATTTACACACACAAATATAAATTCATGGTTACATTTAGGGAATTTAGAAAGCATAAAACAATGCAAGTGAATGTTAGACCTCCTTTGCTCGAAAAGGGAAAGAGAGTCAACTTTTCATAGACAGCCTCTCACCCCATCTCCACTTTGCATGGCAGTTGCAAGGTAACCCTCTTTGAGACAAGATGTAAAACTTTTTAGAGTTTGATGTTGCTTTCCTTCATCAATTTTTGATAATCACTGAATAGGTAATTGATGTAAATGCTTTCTTTTTTTCTATATTTCACGTTTGTTCTTGTACCCCTGCCCCCCGGAAGTTTTTTATCCTTATTTCAAATATCAAGTGAAGGGAGAATTCTTACCAAGATGAAGTGTAGAGTGGTTTGTAAAGTTGAAAGTGAATGATTCTTTACTCGGAAGTGAAAAGAAGTGAAAGAAAGAGAAAGAAGTATGGAAGGAGCAGAGAGTGAATAGTACCCTTATTTATATATTTCAAGAATGATGTATAACCATTCAAATGCGAAGATGAAGCGGTTGTGTCAGTGTTTGTTTTAGTAATGGATTATCTTTAAAGCTAGTGAATTTGATTTCTTCTCTATATGGATAGTGTTGAAGGATTTGTCATAACTTTTGATTATAAAGTATGTCTTAGTACAGGTTTAGGGTCTGTGTCATATATATAATGTTAAAGATAAAGGTAACTAAGTGTTATGTTGCCTTGAAATGTTGTAGAATGTGCAGGTTTATGTCAAGATAGGTTGAAGTCGTTCAAAAGAAAACTTAGAAAATTGATAGATAAACAAATTCATAGATCCCCACAAATACTGTCATAATAATGAAGATTTAAAGCATGATGTGAGTTATCAAGTATTAAGCACATTCTGAGACATCAAAATTTGGTTGAATCAGAACAGGAGTGCTACTTGGTACTGAAAACCATGATAAATATATCTTTGGTAGGGAAGTATTATTGAAGTCATGCTTATCTCAGTGTTAAACTACATTGTTTTTTAGTATGTAGAATGATGCCTTTCTAATATTCAAGCAGGTTGACATTGGAATTCAATAAAAACAGTGATGAGGTAATGCTTGGTAAAAAGTGATAGATATATTCTCACTTGGAACCATATCATAAAAAAGATCTTTCATATTTCAAGGTTGTTCCTTAGGAAGTAAAACTGTACAGTGACAGAGGTGAACAGATGGTAACCCCAAAGATTGTGGAACAACATTGGCCCCATCAGCCATTGCTTCTATATTCTTTCATTTTATAGTAGGTTGTATGCTGTAGGAATGGCACCAAGTAGAATAACAAAGAGAAAGTGTAGAGAGACTAATTCACAAGTCACTGAATACAAGACTGTAGATTTCTCCCGTAGGAAAGTTTCACCAACTCCCCTTGAATGAGGGAGCAGCCCTTTGCCGCTTCCTTGCTCCTGGAAAGACTCATGAGCATCTAAATCTAGTTAATGTATGTCATTGATCCATCAGTCAGTGTGATAAGTCTTCGGTGAGTCTTACTTGATGAGGGTCGGTGGATGATTGCTTTCGAAGCGGAAAGGATTCAAGCGTTTACACACATCAGGGGAATGTATGATATGCTGTGCACTCGTCGCAATCTGCTTTTGTACTCCATTGAAGCTCGTACCCTCTTTTTATGATTTCTGTTGTGTAAACACGACATTTTGCTATGATTACTGTATTGTTCACTCTCTTTGATGTTGCAGATTTATATCAGCAATTGCAAAAACTCATTATTTTGTACATAATGATTTGGTTTTACTTTTCTATATTTGTTCCATTTTGAATGTTCTTCATAATCCTCCACCGACACTCAACTATGTAGCCTTAACAGTTGATTAGCATGCCCCCACATTATGTGGCACAGCCAGCAGTTATGATCCAAAGGTCTCCTCACTGGGCTGTATTTTTTTCTTCTCTACAACCAGGAAAGGGAAAATCATACTGCCGTGGCGTTGCATTAGAATCATGACTGCTGATTGTATCACATAACTCTCTGACACTCTGACATTATTGTTGTTCCGCAGTTGTATCTACAGGAGCTCAACAAACAACGTGAAATGCTCTACACTCTTGAGCTGGTATGTCCTTCCACCCTCAGGTTGCACTGATTGAGGACCGAGTGTTTCTATACGTGTTCGGTGTTTCTTATAAAAGGATATTTAAAAGAAAAATATTTTTTATTGCTTTTGGAATTGTGTAACATCATTGCTAATTTTCTTTGGGAAATTGGCAAGTTTATGCAACAATTTTCAGAATGAAAGAAATAGCAATGGTCTATGATAGTAGAAAGTATCTAGTAAAAGATGTTGATTCTTATTTTTTGACTTTGGTCGAAATAACTTGTACTTGAAATCAAGTTGTCACCATTTCATCTCTGGTTTATTGAAATATCTATATATTGTGTTCACATAATATATTTATCAAGCTGGAGCATTCAGTTCAAAATGGAGACAAATCCCATAGGTTTTCTTTAATAATGAACATCCTCAGATCACCAAAGTTTGAAACACTCGCCACTTGATCGGTGCGCCTGTATTCCCCCTCACCAACCTTACTGTGTGTGTCCCCAAAACCCCACTTGTCACAGAAGTTATTGTATTGTGAAACTATTGCTGCTTTTTTTCTCTTGTCTGTACTGCATGAGCTCGTAGATGCATTTATCATTTTTGTTTTCCTTCTTTATTTGTTGTAATTACTCTTTTTTGTATACCTTGTTTATTAGTTGCATGCAGTACCTCACCTTGAAATTAACAGATGTTGAATGTGTATTAGAAGTGAAAGTGAAGAGACTACTGCCTGATGAACCTCTCAGAGAAAGGAATGTGATCTGTGGTTGATAGGCCCGGGAAGTGCTGCTGTTTGGTCATGTTTTTTTTTTTATTGAACTTAAAGAAAAAATATTTATAATTTGCCTTTAGAATATTGTATTTTGAGTTGACTTCAGAAGAATGAGTGATGTAGACTTTTCCCCTTAGATACAAGAGTGAATTCACTTGTAATAATCGTTTAGAGAATAGATATTATAAAGCCATCTTTATTTTGATAAACATTTTAACTTCGAATGGTGTGTGAAATTAATGGTAGATTGATATACTGAAACGGTTTACGATTATTTGATTGTTTACTAAAAGTAATGTGATTTGATAAGTCACAAAGAATTAGTGTAGGTAATGGTAAGAAAATGCAGAAAGGCATATTCGTATTTTGAAGAGCCAAGTGCAAATAGTTAGGCTAAACCAAAAGAAGGCCTTGATAGCATTTCCCAGGCATTTGTAAATCTGTTTATTGTTACATTATTTTTTGTAACCACGCATTCCTGCTTGCTTCCTGCCTTATAGATCCCATTATTGTCTTGCTCTTTCATTTAATGTTGACGAGTGAGATAATTTTTGCCCTTGAAGATGAGCAGGTAAGTTTGCACTGTGTAGCTTTTGCATGATGTAATGCTTGTTATACTCTGTGCGCGTGGCCATTGTAGAAGGTTGACTGCTAGCGTGTGGTTGTTCATAGCGGAAGAGAGGTTGATTAAGATGGACACTGATTGCAGTTTGCACTTGGGGTAGATGTCCATTATGCCCTTTTCACTTGATTCGGCTGAGGGCTTATTTATATTTGGCTGTAATGGGAGAGAGATCTCAAAATGTATTTGTTAAATTATGGGTTGGAATGGGATTTGTGCTTTTGACTTCTCACTTTCTTCCTTGTTTTGATTGATTGGTATCAAGAGAAGAAGGAACAGCAAGCCCCCCCCCCCTTTTTTTTTTCTCGTTTTGCTTTTCAAGATAGACTAATTCATCATATTTGGTAATGGTGGTTATCCTAATCAGTCCTCTCACAAGTGTTTCATCATGCACAGGTGCTTGCATGCATTACCTAGGGATCTGTTAATGATAACTAATGTGTAATTTGGTAATGTACTGCAATTAATAGCTTCCTAGACTCTCTGTTATTGTATGATGTAGTAGTTATTTTGTGTACATGCTTGAACTAACAGAAAACAGAAAGAGGTTTATAAACTGGTACTTAGTTTTTCACTAATATATTTATACTTGTAATTTTTCCTTGAAGGCAGAGGATAAATCAGATTTAATGGAGGTTTTCAAGCTGTCAGAAGAGCATGGTAATGAAGTTTCTCTTAACATTATTAAACTACTTTCTTCTTTGATTTAATGTTCACTGATACTCCTGGTATGTCCGTTCTAGCATTTTCAGGTTGTTAAAAGCAAAATTGGAAATATAGGGAGATTATTCTCTCTTGTTTCAAAAATCAGTTTGCAAAAGATTCTACCAGGCTGAGAATACATGGTGTGTATTGAAGCTGGACAATATTCACTTTACTGATCTATTACCCTGTAGTTACAGAAGTTCTTGGTAGTGAGTTTCCTTAGAGATGAAGCCAGTGACTGAAAGAAAGAAAAGGCATGAAATTTGTTAGTGGATAGCTTGCCATTCAATGTGACATCCTGATAAGAGAGAGAGAAAGAAATTGTAGGGTGTAAAAATTATTTATTGCTGTACCATGCTCTTCACTTTGCACTCGAGCCAGATATGGAAAAGTTCCAGTAGATATTTTAAAAATTTTGAAAGCATTAGATTCATCACTAAGTTTATAGGGGGGATAGTAACATTTCAGTCTGACATTGAGATTGTAAAACCCGCAGATAATATTCCAACAAGGCTCAGTTCTCTGCGTTTTAGTTATGTACGTGAAATGTGATTTTTCTTCTTTTTTTTCTTTTTTTTTTGCGGTGTTTGAAAGAATATTTCTTATCTTTTAGGGGAAGAAATTTTGTATCTTTATTTTTATTAAACGGTTTTACTCGATATTGGAAGGCAATCATTTTCTTTACATTTCTTTTCTCTCCTTACCTTCTCCGTGACCAGGAGCGAGAGAGGAGGAGATACCATGGCGTTCTAGTGCGTGCCATTGAAGCGAGGAAAAGATACGAGGAAAGAGAAAGACGGAGAGAGGAGATGAAGGAAGAGAAAAGGGCAACCAGAGAAAGGTAGGAGATGGTTATGACATTGATAATTAGGAATTGGGGAAGAAGTGGATGACAGAAAGGTGAGAAGGGAAATAAAGGTTGAGGAATGTCTTAGAGAGAGGTATTCCTGACAGAAAAAATGAAAAAAAATGGATTAGATGAAAAAATCTTTGAAGTGAGGATTTCATGATTTTAAGATTCAATTAAGTCACAGAGGATTTAAATAGTTTGCAATGAATAAGAAGTGATACTGATTTCCTGAAGATGACGGGTTTTAGAAAATAGATAAAGAACAGTACCTTACCTTGATGAGGACATTTTGTCAGATAAACAATTCCAATCCCAGTTTTCCAAGGTGGCATAGACAAGCCTCTTCCTCCATTGCAGGAAGCGTGAGGAGCGTTTGCAGGCGCGGGAGATCCACCAGCTTATGAAGGAGGTGAAGGAGGACATGGAACTGACGGACCACAGTGATCTACCCGAGATCTCCCGACTAGATGGCCTGAGACTGCCCCCGGAGGCATTTGGAAACATCCTCATGGTTTTCGAATTCCTGCACAATTTTGGGGAAACCTTAGGGTTTGGTAGGTTCTGTTGTTAGCTTTTTAAATATCACTTTGTTACTCATTTATTTTTTATTCTATTTTATTCATCTTTTTTCTTTCCTTCTTTCTTTCTTTCCCTCTCATGAGTGGTCTTTGTTATTTAGAGATTTCCCTCTCTGCCTTGTGTGTAGTTCAGAATTATTGTTTAGTTGTGATTATTTTCTCAATATCGAGAAGAATTCTTTGATTTTGAAAGGAGATATAGACGAGGGCTTTATGTTCATGTTATAAGACTAAGAAAAACCTTAAATGAGTTTCGTGTGTTTAAATGTTAATTCCTTTTATTCTTATTCCAGACATGGAGTCACTACCATCAATTCAGAGCTTGCAGATGGCTCTCCTGAATGATAATGAAAGCGAGGAGGAGCTTTTGAGTGTGCTGTCTCACTTGCTTGTATGTGCCATTGAAGATCCAGGAATCCCGTCTGCACAGCGGCATACCACCATCCTTGGCCAGACTCTAAACAGAGCTGATATCACGCACGCCAACATTTCCGAGATCTTGAGAGTTTACCTGAATGCCAATGCCACAGGAGAGGTGAGTTTTCGTGGGTCTTAATGGTCACTTTAGAGAAAGGCCTGTGGCAGTAGCATGGTTATATTATAAACATGCTACTGCAATATTATATTGTATTACTTGTTTTGGGGTTAAGTACTCTGTATTCTAGGATGGACATGTTTTAAAATTTTTACTCTTATTTCCTCATCTTTGTTTCGTTCTTGAATTAGCATTTTTTCATTTACTCTGCAGGTTCGCATCATACATGGTCTTCTGGGCACAGAGAAGGAGCGTCGCGAAAACCCCAAAAAGGCCCAGGAATGGGATGCAAAATTGGCAGAAATGGATGCTTACAAGATGTCCCAGTGGCTGATGCACCTGCCCTTCCTCGCCCTCAATCCGACTCAGAAGAGTGAGATTGTGGCCTATGTGTGCAATGAGCTCCTGCAGAACAAGGCAGTTGTGCGACAGATCGAAGAGTCACTTGATAGACACAACGGTCTAAAGACGGAGAAGTGGAAGCTGGATGCCAGGATCAGAAAGTGAGTCACAGAGTGGCAGCGCTGATTTGTATTGTCTGGGAATTTTTTCTTTTTCATGGTAGACAGATAAAAAAAGACTTGTACTGGATAGTTTTATTGATGTCGATCATAATATGAAAAGATTTTCTAATGCTTTCTATACTTCCAGACCTTGGATCTTTAATAATTTTTTACTCAGAATTACTATTTGATTCATCTTTTTATATCCAGTTTCAAAGAGAAACCCAATGCATTTTCTCTCTTCAGAAGTCAAACTAAGACATTTACTCGTACTGCCTCTATTGTATCTATGCTTTTACGTAATAAGAAATCTCTTGCCCTACAGACTGCGCAGGAGCGTTGCCCGCAAGAGAATCTACAATGCGGCAATGAGGTCCATGATGGAGCACAGGGGAGAGGACTCAAACATGTCCAACATCTCTGGCATCTCATCCTGCCAGGGAGAACAAGAGAAGGGAGAGAAGAAGGATAAAGAAGAGGACAAGATGAAGGAGGAGGAAGAAGAGGAAGAGGAGGAGGAGAATGAAAGTGGCAACGAGAGTGACAACATGGAGGAAATTCCAGATGAGGTGCGTGACAGTGAATGGGTGTGATTGCGTGGCCTTGGTTTTGCACAGTTTTCATTGGATTTGGTTGATTTGTACTAAAAAATATAAATCGTAATGCCCACTGGTGTGGTTGAGACAAAGCCAGAAGTATTGTTATTATTATTGTTTTTATTTATATTTACCAGACTGGATTCTCTGGCCTTGGTTTTCATATCACTTTGAGAGTGTATGTTGTGATGAATTGCTTTGTGTGTGTGTCTGTCCTGCATTTAGTGTTTTGAAGGACTGTTCTTTTATATAAGCTTGACAGGAACATCAGTCTGGAACATGTAAAACCTTAAATCTCACGATGATAAGAGAGTCCATAGAGTCAGATGTCAACTTACAAAAAAAGAATTCCAAGTAGACTGATAGATATTAGTTTGTGTTGTAGAGCTCCTACCACAATAGTTTTAGAAAATCCTAAATAGATGAAGAGAAAGCTTGATGAATCTTGGAAGATGAGTTTGTTAGTTTTGAAGTGGGATTATACTGTATTGAAGTAAACTTATCTTTAGAAAAATGCTATGGGTTTTCATTTGAAGACAGATTAGGTTATCCTATAATTGTTAGAATGGGGTAGATACATCTAGATATACTGATATGATTACTAATGTTAGATTAAAATAAGTATTTGATATTATATAGGGAAATTAATTGACAACTATAATTCTCTTGTTCTCCTTCCTTGCCCATTGCCACCAGGAAAATGTGGTGTTCACTGTAGTATTGTTTTGTTAAATGTATCTACTTGTAGATGGCTCTGCAGTTAAAGTTTTTTTGGGAAAAAATCTAGTGCTATTGAGATCAGTACTGCTATTGTCAATGACATTATGATCATTACAGTGTCATGAACAATATTAAGACCAATATAAAATATTTTGATTTACTCATTAGGGAATAAGCACTTGTGGAGCCATCTATGTGTAAATAAGATTGATTAACTAAATTTACTGCACTCATATGTCCTTACATGCCATCCCTGGTGGCATCTGGATAAGATCTCGCACCCCTTTTCCCATACCTTTTTCTCATTCATTGCTTACTCTTCCACTTTTTTTTTTTACATCTTCCTTCCTCTCCATAATGTTTTTTGTCCTCTACATTGATGTTTATCCATGCTAGTCTCATATTAATTTTTGATGTTGCTTCTTGCTTCCTTTTCTCCATCTCCCCCACTTTTTCTCATGTTTTGCTTCTCTCCATTCCTTGTTTTCCTGTATGACTGTCCCCTCATCCACCCTCCCCCATGCCCAATCTCCCTCCAGAGGCATAGAACCCCCCCATGCCCCTTCCCCACGCAACCCCCATCAATTCGTACCTCCTTTTTCTCCCCTTTGTAGGAGGATGACAAACACCTCAATGCGGATGATGCGTCCAAGACCCTAGAACTCCTCCAGCGTCAGATGAACCAGGTGCGGCAGGAGCTCTTTGACACAGCTCAACAAGTGCGAGGCTTCAACTGTGGCCAAGATAGGTTCCAGGTGAGTGGGTGTGGTGTTTGTAGGTTTACTTGCTTACTTTCATTTCATTCTTTATACTATTGTGATTATTTTTGAGGTGATGGGTTTATGTGTTGTTATGATTTGATTTTTGTGTGATGTGCATTTATTTGTAAGCATATTGTGTGACTGTTATTTTTTTTCTGTGAAGGGCTTTGGATGTATGACCACTGTTTTCTCTTTGATGATTGGGTGGTTATAGGCACCACTATCCTTGTCTGTATATGTACATCTTGATTTATATTCTGTAAAAATACTTTTTGGAAGTCTATACTTCATGTGGGTTTAAAAAAGACAAATTTTGAAATTGGATCATTATCAGTATCTAGAGTTTCACATTAATTTTTTTATATGAACTTGTCAAAAGTGCCATATAACATCATTAACTTACAACTTCATTATTTTTCATTGTAGCGGACGATGTGGGTGTTACCCCACGCTGGAGGTCCCTTCCTGGAAGGCCTGTCATCGTGTGACTACACCGGAAGAGAACACTTCCCCGTCACAGTTCCCCCAGCAGGTGGGAAGGTTGGCTACACCCTAGAGGAGATAACAGAGAAGCTGAAGGAAGACCAGATCAAGAAGGAAAAGATCAAGGAGGAGCGGAAGAGCGAGGTCAAGGAGGAACCAGTGGTCAAGGAGGAGCAGATGGAAGTGGTAAAGACAGAGAGTGAGGTGAAGAAGGAGGCGGGTGAAGAGGTGTGTGTGGGAAACGTTGAGAAAGAAGAAGTAGATGTGAAGCCACCTCTGAATGGTCAGGTGAAGGAAGAGGATGATTTCGAAGTGCCTGATATTCCAAAACGAACAGAAAAGTGTAAAGAAGAAATAGAAAAGCTTGAGGAGACAAAGACTGATAACCTGAATGGTGTGAATGAATCCAAAGCCAACGGAAACACGACCAGTGAAGTGTACTCGTCGCTGATCAATGCCGGACTTAATCCCTACATGGTCAATGGCCTGAAGGAGGGCAATCCTTCGGGAAGCAGTGAAGGCATTGACCAGAACCTCCTGGCGACAGGGCTCGGCCTCGTTCCTGGGCAGTACCTGAGACCCGAGCATGTTGCCCAACGGGAGAAGTTGAGCTTCAGCCTACTGCCACGCATACCCTGTGATGTTTCGTCCCTGGAAGCACTGCCAGCCAACCAGACTCCCCAGGCCACCCCTAGAGGATCACCTAGGGAGGCCTCACCCTTTTCAAGGTACAGCGGGCCACAGAGCCCTGCTGTAGGAGTCTCCCAGAATTCAGGCAGTACCCCAGGCCCACAGAATACCCCCTTAGGGCCAAACACCCCTGGAGTACCCAGCACTCCATTGGCAGTGAGCACCCCAGGAACTGTGACTACGCCAGGGTCTGTGAGTACCCCCAGCTGCATGAATGCCACTCAGGGAAGTGTGTGCAGCACCCCTGGAACTCTGAGCAACTCTACAGTGTCAGGGACCCCCGTGTCATCAAGCATGCCAGGGAGTGTCCAGTGCTTGTCCCACCGTGAATTGCTTGAGAGATTGCACCAGTCAGCTGAGGCTTTGCCTGTCCCAGATGGTCAGTTGCAGCTCGTAACAAAAATGACTTCCCTTCATTTGATGTCATTTGTCATTTCCTTCCGTTCATTTGATGATCTAGCTCTGTATTTTGTTATATCATATGAACAGCAAGGTGATATGCTCTTTTATTATGTGTACATGTATTAATTAGCTAATGATTTCTTTCTTAAAACATCTACAGAGTACAAAACCGGATGGTGGCATGTGACGGATGTGGAGCAGTTGCGCGAGATGATTGGGGCATTGAACGAGAGAGGCGTGAGGGAGAGAGAACTAAAGCGTTTTATTGAAAAGAATTTCAGTATAGTGAAGAATGCCCTTGCAAAAGTAAGTGTGCATACTCATATTTAGTCTGTTTATTTACCTACATGATTTATATAAGGCATTCAGTTCTGTAAGCTGTAGGCAGTGAAAGGCAGTAAAAGCATTGGCCACTCTCAGTATGAAGTGCCTGTTTAACCTCCGTGTTTAGAGATGAGAGACATGATCACATATTTGCATATAAAGTACTTATATAAGTATTTCTTATATATGTATAGAGTCTTGAGGAGTTTATGAGTCCCTGTGATTTTGCATCTGAGAGAACTCATTGTTCTTAGGTAGGGCTTACAGTTGTTGAGCATTGAACACGAAAAAAAAAAAATTGTAGATTTCATAGCAGCGTAAAAGTTAGCTGAAAGGAGCCTGTACTCCTCCCATCTTCCCGTCATAAGCTGAGTTTTTGATTTTGTGACATATACTTACCTTTCATTGTTTGTCTGAGTGTCGTAATCCTTTCACATAGCGGACACACAAAAACAGACTGGCTCAGGTGACCCCAGTGAGTAAATAACAGAATCATTATTAACCAAAAAAAAAAAAAAAAAAAACAAAAAAAAAAGGAATAAGAGAAAAAACACCGATCCCATTTTTCGTCAGTGTTC